TAGTTGTTGTCATAATCTTCCTTGATCATCATTTCTGTTAGTATTAAAACTTTATTCTCTTCAAACAAAATGTTACTTTTGGTGTGGAATCCAGGAACAGACAGTCTAATCCTATGTTGCTTCTCTCTGGCTTACATAAGTTTCAGAAATGTAGCTTGTCCTCAAAGAAAATAAAAAACTGCCTAACTAGTACATATCTTCTAGTTTCCAAGGCGAAGAACAATGTTTTTATGATAACAATCGTGATGAATATTAAATTAAAAAATCGCAGTTTAAGCGGATTACATGTAGTACTCTGCGCGACAGCACCGCGACCGCTCACGCTGCTCATGAGGAAGAACCCCTCTGTGGTTCGAAACTAATAGTAACTTTTCTCAGTATATTCACGTGAGTAATCCGCGATTTTTATTTAGCGAACAACAATGTTCTGTCTAGTTAGACAAGAAATACTCAGATGTCTTAAAGTAAATAGACGGGTCGGAGATAATTTCAATGATAATATTATAATCTTGTCTATTCGTATTATGTAAAAGGTATAGTGAGGAGACAAGGATGTCTGTTACGTAGGTAGCAATAAAAATTTCACTTCGATGAATAAGTACGACGTGTATTAAAGACGAGGCCGGTACGATATGAATACGGAAAACGTATTTATGATGTTAGGCTTTCGCTTTTGGTTGTGATATTGATAAGGTCTTAACTATAAACTATGATTTTCTGGTTTATTTGTTTTTATTTGTACTCTGGAAGGGAAAAGAGGCTGTTTGTTCTTTAAAGTTGAGGTATAAGTAAAAAGAGTAATGATGGAGTTTCTTGCTCGCTCTTCTCCATTCGAAACTACACTTTGGAACGAGTACCTAGCTTCACTGATACATCAATTTGACGTTTCAAAAGTGCCTAGTAAAGGATTAATTGAAATTAATGTTTTGATTTTGAGTTTGCATTGCTGGACATGCGCACAATTTTTTATATCACAAAGATGTTTTCTTAAACTGACACCCAAAGGGCCAATACTTCACGGTTGTATTGCATAAAATTGTCAACTAAATTAACATGTTAACGTTCCAGTGTGATTTCGCATTAGTAAACAATACTAATTCCAGATCGCATGAATTAACCACAAAGGCCAATATTTATTTGCCTAATAACTTAAACCTTTGCTTTTTGCGTGTTCGCAAGTTAATACTGAATTTATAGGCAAACATTTGTGCTTCGTAACGACACAGTCGTGGCACATGTCGCCGACGTTATTATTTATTGCTGTCATTAACCAAATTAAGTCGACGTGAGTACGAAACAATAGAGCGAGTGACTGGAGGGCACCACTGCTTGGCAAAGCTAGACGCGGCTGAGATGCACGAAGGTGCACGATCGTGACCGAAACTGACGGACGATCGGCCTCGGGCATTGCGAAACATCTCGTAGAAACATTGTGGCTGCAAGTCTCGCACTAAATTCGCGATTGGGACACTGATTCGCGAAGAATACCATTCAACTGTTGTATAGAACAGGTATTGTTTAACGATCGTACTCGAACACCTTCGGCGCTTTGTGAACTCCCCATTCATCCTATTATTGTATGTAATAATGGTATTACACACGAGTCTTTGCCTATAAGTGTGTGTTGCCCAACTGAGGTCAGGTCTTTGATATTTATCTAATATCACTTAGACGTTTATTTATCTGTAATGATACGCTATTAAGTATTGTATACAAACAGCTTTGTTTCGTGGAATAAATTACCTTTTTATCTTTATAAGTTGTTGCATATGTAAGCCGATTTTCATAATACTTAAAGACTTTACTATGGCTACAGAGGAGTCATCATTATTTATTGGTTACTTGTTGATATTTATCTTGGTTCTTGGCAGTCAAAAAACGAATTGATAACAAGGAATATTCTTTTTATATTCGGCTCTTTTTGCGATTTCATTTAAGTACACATCGCGAATACTTATTTTTAATACTAATTAAATTCAAAATTGCTTAATTCAATTCCGAAACTTTTAAAATTATTTTTATGGTAATTGCACATCGGAGATAAAATGCTTATGATGCGTAAAATCCATATTAGGTTGAGGAAGTTAATTAAGTGGAACCCTGAGATTGCATGACGGTCCTTGCCTTTACCGATCGTGCTGACGCGTCCTATAGTGTATTGATGAGATCAGATTGCAATTACTGCTTACGGTCATGGCGGTAATGGTGTCAAGGTTATATCAGGTACGTCTAGCTGTAGAGATGTATGTCACGCTGGGCGTCTGCGCGTTACGAACCTCCGCTCCGCCTGACAACAGACAATTCCGGGTAAACAGCACGATCTATTCAACACTATTTACGCAGACTTTACCTCATTGATTCAACATCAACATGCCGTATGTTAATAAGAATTAGCGAGAATTAATCGCGAATAGGTATTTTCCGATTGTTATTTGATTAACAAATATCCTGTTTTGGTTTTTCGAGAAAATCTTAATGGCTTTTCCATAAAACGTACGTTGATCAGTAGGTATTAGGTCAAAGATTCTTCGCGTTTTTTGGTTGGCTTGCATACTTTGCGGTGGCCCAAAGCGATGTCACTGAGACTCGTCAGACGGCATACTTGACTTACGTAAGAAAACAACACGGTTGACCAATGTGACAACTGGCGGGCTTTACTAAAACAATCCTGTGTTCGGTAGTACATACATGCTTATAGCGATACTATGACATCATTGAGTAAACTTTACTCTAGGCACGTATTAAGTCGGCACGGTAACCGACAGCGAACAAGGATATGCGACAAAGTTATTGTTTACGCATAATAAAGGTTAGTGAACTACTTATTATATAATTACACTGTACTGTAGGTAACATGTCGTATGTAGTTGCATCGGAAAGGTTCGGTTACTCAACACGACACGCAATGCGGTCCAGTGCCCCGGTCACTCACTGTCACAGACCTGAATTAAAGCCTGAATTTTGGAGACAACGCTCTTATGTAAGCTCGTGTTTTTGTTTTGGCATGCAACCTCTGTTGGCAGATTGTAATACAAGAAATAATATATTAAAGACGTGAATATCGTGAGGTACAAAATTAAGTAGAATTAACCTGTTAAATAGGATCTGTTTCAGAGCGCCAGGTGTTTTAGAGAAAAAAAAAACAAAACAAAATTTAAAACTATAAAACAAATATATTATTTACTTTTATTTTGACCAGCTGCATATTATTTTTATTAAATGAATAAAAATCGAATGCATAGAATGCAGGATTTCCATTTTTAAATTATTAAGCGAATAATTAGAATATTAGTGACGAAATTTAAAGACATGTAGGTAATATTTGAGCGCTAGAATATCAAATGACGACATAGATAATTAATGTTTAGATTAAAAATGTTTAATTAAGAGATGTTTAAGGTCAAGTGGAATTAGACTAATCAGCTGATTATTTATATTTGAATAGCGTTTTGTTGGCATGTCAAGTTCATTACAGCGAATCTTTAAATGGAACACGATTTACTTAATTACGCAGTAACTTTCGTAAGAAATAAATGTTATTAGTACCATAGAGTTTTTAAATAAAGAGTTCGTAATCGACTATATTTTTAATCTGTACGCGATGTGATGTAGACGCATTATATGTAAGACGTTTCATTCAAAATTCAAGTTCTGAAAAAATTAAATGTAACTTAAAATGACTTATTATTCGTTTATGATTTGTTAGCTAAATACTCATGAGCAGTTTAACATTCTACATGAGCAAAATATCAAAGTCAATGAAAAAACGCCAAAAGACAGGCGTGGTCCCATGTTTGTACTACGTTATGTCATTTGACTCAAAATACTCGAACGTAACACACCCACTAAGCGTTAACAAACAATCGAATTACTCATTAATGTTATGTTAATTATATTATTTAAAACAATATTTTTTCCTGGATATTTAATCTGTATATGATTACTCCAATGAAGGGCAAGCATTTATGTGCTAATCCTGCTGTTAGCACTGTGAAAATCCACTGCTGACTTTCTCTTCATATTTGGCTGTAATCTCCACACGTACCAGACTTGAGATTACAGCAAATTAAAAAAAAAACAAAGGTGCTATATTCAACAGAACTTATTTATGCAACACATTCTTTAGCCATAACCCAATGGACCGGTGTTACTGCGCATGTCACACGTATGCCTCCAGCATTTCTGTCCGATTACGTTACATGTGAGATAAAGAACTTGCCATGTTTTCGTCATAATTAGATTTATGGGCTGACAGTCGCAATTAACTGTGAATGTGAATACTATTGTTCGACTGTTTGTAGCCTTTTTATGATATATTTACGAAATTTTAGATATGTGGGTCTTAACAGGTACAATTCGATGTTTCTACAGATTCTTTTTTTGTTGTTACTATTTCAAGAGCAATGTGAACTGGGTGTTGCATGTGTTTGACTGGGTTTTAAAAAAATCTTAGTAGTAGTACGGAGTCTGAAATTGTAATGCAATAGTCTCACCCCCTATTACATGGGACACATGACATTGAAAAGTGGCATGTACACCTCTGTTTAGGTGTTTACCTCTTTGGGGATAAAAGGTGTGATGTTATATCATTGTGAATCTTTTAACTCACATGAAACTATATATAACTTTTAATTTAACCACAAAAAATCTAAATAAATAAAAATACAATAATGAATTAAATACAAGTTGAAAATAAAATTCTGGTCGGAAAGAATATAGATTAAAAAGTTTGTATGTGATTCAGCTCGGTAGTCAGTATATTGATGCTGGCCACAAATTATTTTGAAGAAAATAAGTAAGAATAAAAAAGATTTCTAATTTTATCTGTGATATGAAGCATTGGCGCGCTTCTATAAAAAATTAAATATTTTTAAGAGTATAACTAATGCAAATTTTCATTCCGTTCATATCTTTGTATCCAAGAAAATAGTTTAACAGGTTTTTCAACACTATCATTATTTTTAATACAAGATTAACAGAATATATTTTTCTTGTTCCAGATGCAGGCGTGGTTGTTGGTGGCGTGCGCGGCTGCGCTTGCGACCCTTGCAGTAGCACAGAAACCTGGACGTTTCCTCTCCCTCCCCAACCCCCAGAAATGCGCTAGCAGTAAGTCCATTAGATTATATACCTTGCGTGATATATTATTAGGACTCAAAATATTTCACATTAAATGTACCAAAAAAGGTGTTATATGTTATTAAAATTATAGTGACATTAACAACGTGCTAAACCTGAGGATAGTCACCGAGCAAATATTAATTTAGTGTAATAGGGTAGATGCCTAATTTTTATTTTATGATGTCCGTCTGGTAGAATGTCTTAAATCATTAGACACGTATTTTTTTATTTTCTTATAGAAACAAATACTTTCGACGATATATTGATTAGAAATGTCGCGTGACGTCACTTCTATGTACATTTTATACGTAGAAATTACGTTTTAGTCCCCACTCCTAAACTTTGATTCGTTTTATCTAAGTATTATATTATTATACGACAAAATAAAAAAATACATGTCAAATTTTTTTTCATTACCTAACTTACCGACTAATTATATTTTTAATTTTTATACCCTGTCATCATCCCAATTGTAGGGAAAAGTTAAATTATTTTTTCTTATGTATTTGTTCGCATGATGCAAATCAGATATAAAACATAGTCCGTCCTTACCCATAAAGTAAAGTAAACACTTAGAAACATAAATAACTTATGCTCTTATTCAAGCATACGTCAAAACAACATCATACATGGCAACAATAAATAAACGAGTATAATTACTCATCGCGAATGAATTAGAATCGATATAAATAGTGGAACAGGTTCATTGATGTCAATGTTGTTCGAATACGACTAACCGATTATCTTTATGTAACGAATCGATTATATCGGAATTGATAATCGCATTTCGGTTGCGAAAAATTAATGAATCGATATGATTTTTCTGGGTTTATGTGATATGTTGATTATGGATAGCTTGTTAATATGCATAAATTGCGGAAATGATGTAGATTAAGGTAAAAATTAATTGGTGTCTGTATTCAATTACGTAAATAGAACAATATTGTATCGACTTTTCACGTGAAATACGCTTCTCGACCATTAAAACTAAATGATTGTCGTTAAAAAAACTGAATACCTTCGTGTAGTTCAGATTATACGTTTGCTACTTCAATAGACTACACTAAAAAGCTATAATATTATGGCCATGCCTAAATAATTTCCAGTTTGCTAAGTAGGTAAAACACGAGTGAATATAAAGCTATGGGTCATCGGAATCCTTTCTAATTTATGTTAGATATACTTACTTACTAATTTATGGTAGGATCCGCCATTAAGTAATCTATTAATATTTTATTTTATTAACATAACGTGACGTCTGTTTTTCCCCGAAGTAACTAAAGGCTACATTGAGTAGCATTTTATCCGTTACCTTATTATACAGTCTTTCTATATGAAATAATATCGCATTTTGCATTCTCTGAAAGGGTTGGCTACGGTTCATAACGTACCTATTAAAAGCCTTTAAAAATTGAAAATTATATAAAAATCTTTATATGTTAAGTAAGAAAATAGATCAAAGATAATTTACATCTTCAATAAGCCTTCTAACCACAAAAAGGACATTGACAAATTCACCATTTTGGCTCTAAGCTTGACAAACGAGACTTCCAACGTAAGTATTCGAACCCGGCTCTACAAACGTATTTGTCTTTAAAATAACTAAATTAAAAGACAAAATAAACCACTGATCTTATTTTATCTGATTGATATATTAAAAAAATTAAATACCTATTTTGTCGTGATGTACAAGGAAATAAAATGGAGCCTTGAACTTATTTAGTCTATGCTTCACACGATCTTGATGGATTTTATTGATATTAATTTATGGTAAACCGCGATTTTAAGGTTGTTGATTCCAAGAAGACATTCCTGGCTGTACAAATATTATAATTAGAATTTAAGTAACCGCTCGCTTTTAGTAACTGTTGGTTTTGGGTTTAGTTAGTATATAATAGTCCATAAATTGAACGTTAATTGGTTACATAAAAGGGAATTAAAATTTGGGAATGGTTTGTGTAATTCAATATAGAGGTAAATAGGTTATGTACAATTGTAATTAAACCTTAGGTTCACTCACTATTTACTATTAAGATTGCAGTGTTCGATTATTAAGTATATTTTCTAAGAAAAATCTTTTTTAGTAAGTTAGCTTATGGAAAGCGAAACGGAGAAAATTAGGAAAGCTTTTTTATATTAAATGAATATTAGATATTTTGAACCTAATATTTTTCTTTAGGTTCGAAATATATCATATTCAATAATGAAATAAAGTAAAGGTGTTTAAAATAAATCATTCTAATATATTTCTTCTTTATCTATCCCCGTGGGAGACAGGCGTGAGGTTATGTAAGTATTTTTTTTAGAAGAAACTGATTTTAGTTTAGATACCTACTTAAATAGCTACATCAAACTGGCTTAACACAAATAAAAATAATAGCAAGTCCTCAAATCAGGTGTCTGTCCATTTCCACAAATCCGGTCGGACTACGAGAATAAGTTTCATCATTTTTAATTATATAACTTTAATCTTTTTTTATGATAATTATCATACGAACACCACACTTTGCTAATCTGCTGTGATCTACTTATCTCTTTCACTTAAAAATATGAATTAAAATAAAGGTTTTCTGGGTCAAAAAAACACGGTCATCATGAACAAACATTGCACGATTTACTCATATTTCTCAGTATAAAGATTCATTGCCGTAATTGCGTAGGGAAAGTAAAATCTTCCGCGGGTCATTGACCCAGCAAGGTCGCGGACTTGTTGGAGGACGCTCCCCTTCCCTCCCCCCTCTTCTCATATCCCCTCGACGTCCATCCGCAGTCCGTTGTCAAGTACGGTCGCGTAATTGGGAAAAGCACTTTTCCGTTTCCTCCTCGAGAGATTCTTTTCTTTTTAAAGTAGTTTAATGTGCACGGAAATATTTTTAGTATGTCACTGTCAATAGATTCATGCTAGGTTGTTTCATAATATTATTTAATAATTATAATGCAAAAGTAATAACAGACATTTCTGCATCGTAAAATGCAAAATAATTTGCCAAATAGAAGTTATATGCACACATTTTTGAATTAATTACAATCTGCAGTTTAATTATGCATCTACGTTTTTCTTGTGACAGACTATTTGTTTTTTATTTGCTAACGAATTGCTTTAATACCATGCCTATGAAAGCATAAAGTGTAGGACGTAACTTTAACTTTTTTTTTAAATGTGGAATAAAAATAAAACTGAAGACTGTATACTCTATGCAGCCTACGCATTTAAATAAACGCAACGAAGCGCTCAATTGCTGTATAGATGAGGTCACCAGAATATTAAAACAAAAAACTAGTTACCGTAACGTTTCATAACACAACAAGTTAAGAAAAAATAGACACAGCCTTTGTATTTCATATGAATTTTTGATTAACATAAAGTTGTGACATATTTGGAGTATTTATTCTAAACTTGAGCCTTATTACTTGTCTTCATCAAATAACACGTTTGTGTAAATAAATGTTAAACATTTTAGCAGTTAGGAATGTGATATGTGTTTACATTAAGTTGTAACTTATTCAAGGGCGAGGTCTAAGTTGCCTACATCAAATTACGTAACTTATCTGGGCGGTGTGGCTGAATTTCAGATCTCTCTGTTTGGGTTTTTGTAGATTATTTATCTCAGTTCGAATCAAACCTTGTTGGTTAGCCTAAGGTATCTTGTAGGCAAGAGTTCTTAACTAGATTTGATTTGTTTCAATATGTTTACTCTGGGGTGATAATTCTATTCCCTTGACTAAGCCAGCATAAGACGAGCAACGATAATAGAATTTCCCGGTAAAAAATAATTAAATTTTAACTCAACTGTCCCGTGTAAAGTTCCATGGTGATGCCCACAGCCGAGGTCTGTATACCATTAGAAGGTGTCTCGTGCCCTCAGGCGTATTCGTTTCAGGTTTTAAGTCTACGTGATACCCGACTCACATCAACAGCCATTTGGGACATGACATGCCATAGGAAAAAGAAATATGTTCGACATTATTAATATCTTATTATCCAACGATTTATGCAACATAATCTTGGTTAACCGTGTGTCGTAACATTTAAGTGTAATGTGGCCCTATAACACCAAAAGTTCAATTTAAAGGGTATATAATTATATATTTACTTACATATAATTATATAGTATGCTTCCGTAATATAAGACAAACCGATTCATCTTAAAAACTTGTATAAGTAATAATCTGCGGCTACTTTTTTAAATAAACACTATGGTTACACAGACTAATGCATATTTACCACAGACAATTGTAAAGAGAAAATAGGAAGCAGGAAAATTCCGTTCCTCAACACTTACTTATTTATATTATTAAGTATTTCAATTATAGACGATGGCTTGAGGCTTGATATTGATTTATTTTTATTAATACGTAACGGCTTTTCCTCATTCCTACTGGCTGAATCGTTGGCATAGCTTTGGCTAATTAATTCTGTCTAAAAAAGTTTTATGTACTATTCGCTGGGGCTGAATAATACACAGTCAGATCTATGAATCAAACACTTGTTGACCCCGTTCAACTTTCGACCACTTGACCAGTGATTCGTCAGTCACATCAGCTGTAGATTTGCATAATTCATGAGCAGATACCGTCCGCCTTTCATACGTTCAAAGTTTTCTTTTCCGCAGATATTTTTATGCAGATAGGCACTAACTCGAAGAATATTGTGATAATCTGTTTTTGTAAAATGTGAAAGTACTGAGACTTCTAAATAAACATTGTCTTTAATATTTTCACTATTTCGCAAAAACGAACACTCATTGTTATTGGTTATTGAGGCAAATTGTATTGTCTCACATAGACGAGATTAACAAAGCTTTGTCGATTTTAGAGCATATTTTGTTCCTTTTAAAAGTAGTCATTAAAGTTTCAGACAGGTTAATTAACCTGTGGTCCTTTCTGTGTTTAAAACTAAAACTTGTAACAACACAATAATTTTACACATTTATTTAAATAGTCAGATTTATCACAAACCAAACATGATCAAAAACATTCGACAAATA